AAAAATAAAAGTGTATTTTTTGAAATTTTAAAAAAGAACCAGGACCTGACACCCTCAGCCATGCTCCCCACCTTCTCCTCTCCCCATGCTCAGGGCCCACAGAAGAGACAGACAGACCCCAGGAGCCACGGACACTTGCCTTAACGTGACAGGGGACCCATCCAGCCACCTCCAGTCCCCTTCTCGGTTCTTGTCATTCAGCCCCAACCAGTACACCCGTGGAGAGCCGTGCGCCTTGGCCACGAAATTCTGCAAATACAAACTGCATTCAGCCATCAGTCCTCCTAATGGCCTCTTTCCTTTATAAAATACCCAGCTTCCCGTATTTTGTTACAGCAACTGAAAATGGATTAATGCACATCTTGTGCCTCATTTTCTCCATTTGTAAAATGGGATGATAACAGGAGCTACCTCCTCGCAGGATAGGATTTGCATGAGGATAAAATAGGTTGATGTTCTTAAAGTGCCAACACAGTGACCGGCACCTAACAATGACCGTGACATCTTAGCATTTAATATTACAACATTTGAATAACGTTTTTTTAGCAATAGGAAACGATAGGAGGTTTTTCCCCTGGTGTTTTTCCACCCACTCCTAATCTGCATCTAGGCAGAGAAGTTCATGAAGAAAAAAAATGAAGGAGGAAGAGAAGCAGGGGAAGGAGCCTCCTGGTGCTGGTATATCTGGGCTTTGGGAAGAAAGGGAAGGGTTTATGTGGAAGACAGAAGCTTGGGAAGAACTATGGTTAAAAGCAACTGTTCTCCAGAAAAACTAATCCGTGGTTGCAGATGGTGGAAGGATCAACTAGACAAGGGATAAGAGAGGACTTTTCAGGGTGGTAGAACGTTATGAGTCTTGTTTGATTGGCAGTGACGTTGGTCAAAACACAGGCTTCAAATATGTGCCTCTTACTGTATGCAAATCACACTCCCACCTCGAGTCTCCAATATGCAGGCAGGGGAGATGGCAGTGGAAAGAAGTTTTGAATACGCAGACAAGGTCTGGAGGGAGAGGAGCCCTCCACCTCATCCCCAAGGACCCCCGGGAGGTGACAAAAAAAAATTGGGGGACTCTAAAGAGCAAAAGCTACCTGGACAGTATTTCCTAGTAAAAGCTCCAGGGAGGTTTCAAGAAACCAGAGCCAGGGGTGGTGGTGCACACCTGTGATCCCATGACTCGGGAAGCCGAGGCCGGAGGATGGCGCATTAGAGGCCAACCTCAGTAACTTAGCAAGACCCTGTCTCAAAACTTAAAATTTAGAAAGGTCTGGGGATGTAGCTCAGTGGTAGAGCACCGCTGGGTTCAATCCAGGATCACGCAAAAACATAATGCTCTGATGCTTATGATCAAGGTCATGGGCTTCGAAGACAGCTACCTGAGCCCAAATCCCAGCTCTGGAAGTAGTTTTGAGTGACCACAAGTGAGTTGCTTAGACGTGCTATGCTTCAGTGTCTTCAACCGTGAAGTGCATAAATCGTAATTTTACCTAATTGTAGTAGTATCGGGGCTCAGAGTGGGTGGGAAAATACCATTAAAGTTGTTTACAAACATTCCAACTTTCCTTCTGGATACACACAGGTGAGACCTTCTTTCCCCATCACCTCCAAGGGTAGGAGTGCTCATGTGACTTGCTTTGTGAGCATAAGCGAAAACTCGGAGATGATTTGCCTCCTGCGTGATCACTGCTGAGCTATGCAGGCTCTCTGTTACTGCAGCAAAACCTATCCTCTCCTGGCTGATACACGGATCTGTAGAGTCGTGACGACTGCATATGCTAATACATGCAAGACGTAAGGTGTTTGGAAGACAGGCACTATCTTAGAGAGAGTCATTCAGTTTCCATGGAAGAGATAAAACTGAGATTTGCAGAGGTTGAATAAACACCATCAGCACTTGATCTCAAATAAAACACATCTTCTTCCCTTTCACATTGAGAGTGTCTCAGCAAGAGCCTGCTATTAAGTTTAAATAACTCAAAAGGAATTACAAGTTCTCTCTATCCTGGTAAGAAAAAGGAGGGGTGAATCCTGCAAGCAATGCACAGTGGTTCTCAAGGGTTCGGCAGGGACAACTCACATGCTCAGCAAAGGAATTGATGATGACCAAGTGAGAGTAATTCTCCTGGCAGAACTTCCGGGCTTCGTCCCATGACTTGGTGCTGGGAGAGAAGTAGTAACACCTGCCCTCAAAGGGGAGCCAGCCCTCGGGGCAGGTGATCCTGGTACAGTCTGGGGACAAGAGAGATGCTTTCAGAAGGCTCCAGGGTCTGTGTACCTAGTGTGCCACGGACAGTTGTTCAGGCTGTGCGCTTCTCAGCTCCAGTCAGCACCGTTCTCATAACTTCACTAAAAATCATTTCCATGAAGTCCTGCAACCTGCTGCTCCGGCCATGTCCCCCATCTCGGGGTGGTTCCCCAAACCCCACTCACCTAACAAACCCCGAAGTTCCACCAGGGACTGGTTGGTGTCTGCTCTGACACGGTCAATGTCCTTCTTCAGGCCAGCCAGCCCCGCCATGCCAGTCACTGTCAGGAGAGAACAAGGGCTGGGAACCCAGAACCACACCCTCCTGCCCACCCACTACCCCCCACTGACTGCTCCTCACTGCATCCCGGGTCTCCTGGGAAACGGCAGAATTCAAAACCCACGTTCTCGGGGTCCAGGGGTCCTGGGGTGGCTTAGAGGGGGACCCACCCCTGGGGACTTGAGGCTAAAGGGAGAGGTGGGCTTCCTGGAGATGCGTTGGACATGAGGATGGGATTGGGGTAGGGGGTGGAGACGGGGCTCAGGAAGAGGGTGACCTGGCACCTGCCAGGGGAGGAGGGAAAACAGGCCGGCAGGGGCGTCCCTCTTCCTTTAGACTCTGCTGTGACGTCCAAAACTCTGTATTCACTGGTAATGTGTGACTCATGACCCCCTGCCTGCGCTGTCCAAGGGAAAGTCAAAGTGAACCAAGCCACGTGGTTTTTATTTTTTTTTTTAGTTGTAGATGGACACAGTATCTGTATTTTATTTATTTTTCTGTGGTGCTGAGCATCGAACCCAGTGCCTCCTGCGTGTGAGGCGAGCGCTCTGCCACCGAGCGACAGCCCCAGCCCAAGCCACGTTTTTAAGCCAAAAAGAAACCGGTAAAATCAACCTGGATACTGTTTTCACTCGTCCCTCTGTATCCACGCTTACATTACCATTTCAATCTGCAGCCGGCGTTTTCAAAGTATGGGTGGGATAGGTTCCATTCGATGTGGGAACAAGTCTTTGAAGTCAGTGTGTGAGTCACGGTGACAAGACACACCCCATTTCAGGCCGGTCGCATTTTAGGTGCTCAACAGCCACCTGTAGCTTGTGGCTGCCATAATGTCCAGTGGAAGTCTGGACACGCACATGCACACGCACACACGCTCGCGCACGCACACACACACACACACACGCTCGCGCACGCACTCGCACGCTCACGCCCTCCACAGGGAAAAGCACGTGACAAGGGTCCTGTCTGATGTGCTCTCGGTCCTGCACCCAGCACAGCGACTGGCAAAGGGAGTCGGGCCGGGGTCGGGGTCGGGGTCGGGGTTGGCTGTGGGGATGGTGCGGAGCTCAGCGTGGGGAGGCACTCACCGTTCACCTGCCAGGCCGCCTGCTGAGAGGTCAGCGCCCCCAGCCTCTCCACCACCTCCTGGTCTGTGAGGAAGATCCAGCCTGACCCCAGGTCCTCCCGGGCCCCGCCCCCAGCCTCTCCCCGCGGCCCGGCCCCGCCCTCCTCACACTTCATCAGGGTCACAGTCAGACTGAGGCAGCTCAGGATCAGGGACGTCCCCAGCAGCAGCAGACACAGGTACACCTTTAGCCTCTCCTCCTGGTGACACCCAGGACTCTTGGACTTCGGATGGAGCCAGGACACTGGAGTGGCTGGGGGGGCGGGGGAGGGGGGTGGGTGGGGACAGAGAGTCTCATCCCGGTGCTTCAGAGTGAGAGGAAGGGACCCTGAGCCTTTCTCCAGGAGCACAGGACAGAGGTGTGTCACCCTGTCTACAGGACGGTCCAGTGACAGACAGACAGACAGGGTCGGGGATGAGCCTCCAGCAGCTCCTGCCCACGCCCCTCCCACTCAAGGCGGCCTGCGGACCCCTGGGACATACAACAGTGTCTCCTCCGAGTCCAAAGGGACTTGCTGAAGAGTCCCCTGCAGACACCCTGGGTCCCCGGGGGCCTTGGGCTGGACTCCCCGGGGGGAGCAGAGAGGTTTCTCTGTCCCAGGGCCTCACCGTGGACCTGACTCAGATGCACTGTCCGCCCCGAGAGGGGAGGAAGGGAGCCGCCCGCCGGGGGAAGGGGACTCACTGGTTAGGGACGGCAGGACAGGAGGAGGCTCCCGATCAACGCCTGGGAGAAAGGGGGAGAGAGGTCTGTGCAGAAGTTGCCGGAAGATCCTGTCTTCCGCGATCAACAAGCGCAGTCGGGACGGAGGGGTTGGTTGGAAACCCCCTCGGCTTCCCCCTCAGGATTCCTCTCTTCCCACATTTTTCATTGTGCACGCGGTTGTGCAAATGGTGGGATCCACTGTCGTGTCGCAGGCGCACACGGCAGGACCCATGATCTGGCCAACACCCCCCAGCCCCCCCACTGCTCACCCAACTGATGAGACTTGCAGGGCACAGGCGGGAGGTCCAGGGCTGGAAGGACCAGAAAGACAAGGGTCATTCCCAGGAGAGTCTCCACCGGGAGCAGGAAGACCCCGCCCGCCCGCGGCCTCACCTGTCATCCTCAGGGGCTTGCTGGGGAGGGGAGGGGTCTCCGGTTTCTTTCCTGGGGAAGGAGGAAGGTTGCTCAGGCCCAGGTGGGGCAAAGGCACAGGGGGGGCTCTGGACCCCCAGCCCCACTCACCTGCCCTGGGAGGCCGCGGGGGAGCCATGGAATCTGAAGGAGAGAAGGTCAGAGTCAGGGTGGCATGACTCGGGAATGAGATCAAAGGAAGTGACCAAAACAGGGTGAGGGACAAAGCAGGGGCTGAGCAGGACTGGAGCTGGAGCTGGATGTGAGAATGGAACCGGGCTACAGGGAGGGGACAGGGTCACAGTGCAGAGACCGACCACCCGAACCGCCCAGAATTCCTCATTAAAACGGAGAAGTCCGTGTCCTGGAAACCCCTCCGTCCTGTGAGCCGGGACAGTTGGTGGCCTCGGAGTCACAGGGAGAGCTGAAGTGAGGACGGAGTTAGGTGGGGTTGGGGCTGGCTCTGGGATTGGACGAGGGCGAAGCTGGGGTGATCGTGGCGAAGGGTGTGGGAGCAGCGTGGTCACTCAGGACAGGGTCAGGGTACCGCAGAGTCCTTGCCGGGTTTGGGAACAGGTTGAAGGTCACGTTGTGGTTGGGCGGGGATGAGGGGATGCTGCGTTTGGGAGTGGAGTTGCAGGGATGAGGAGGGGCCATGTTGGAGGGAGGGGTGGCCCTGAAGGCGGGAATGCAGCTGGTCTTGGAGGAGGGGTTGAGGACCGTGGGGGCACAGCGCTGGCGTCAGAGACGAGACCGTCCCATGGTACAACCCAGCCCACCTCCTGCCTCACACGGAGCCACTCATGTCCCTAGACCTCAGAAACCGGGGATAGAGAGGCCCATTTTGCATAGGACGGCCACTGCCCAAGGACACCGGGGTGGCACTACCAACCCCAGAAACCTCTCACGGCCTCCAGTTCCCTGGAGGGACTTCACTCAGGGACACCTCCCAAGCTCCCACGTTTCTGTCCACTCATCAGCCCCTCCAGGCTGGTCACCCACCACACCCAGGTGCCATGGAGCAGAGCCCCCAGGTCCCCTGGGATTTCTCCGCTGCTTCGTCCCTTCCCTCTCAGTCGAGCTGGTGCCCAGAGCTCCAGGGCACAGTCCCAGTGCGCCTGTCATCGTGTCACCTGGCCTGGGGTGGGTCAACCCGAGAATGACCGGGTGGCTACAGTGTCCAGCGACCGCCCCCTGGGGCCCTGCTCCCTCATTCCTGAGAGAGCCGTCTCACCTGGCTTGGGAGGAAGGTCCTTGTAGGGTGGCGCCATGTTTTCGTAGTCATCACCGTCACCATCAGACTCCTCCACTGTGGTCCCTCCCAGAGAGAAGGCGAGTCAGAGTCCAGCCACCCTCCCCTCCTCCCCGGGGCCTGGTCTCTGGCTCCAGACGGCCCCAGGGTGGGGATGCGGGGTCCCCACCCCAAGCCCAGGCCTGGCGAGGGCCCTACCTGGTGGGTAGTGGCGCCCGGTGTTAGTGTACAGGGTGCTCATGGCTGCAGAGGACACCAGGACCCGGAGAGGGACGCCCGGTGCCCGGCAGTGCCTGACCTGTGTGCCTTCTGCTCAGGCCCCTCTCAGTTCCCTTTCTTTAGAAGTCAAATGCATGCAAATCCGTCTTGAGAGGAGCCCCTGCAACCCGCCTAAGCTGCTCTCTCTCCCCAGTTCAGATCTCCCACAGCTGGGCGCCAAGGCCAGGTGGAAAGTGGCCAATCTCCTCCCTCCTTGCACCTCTGACCTAAACAGGAGGGGCAATAAGCCAGTCAGGGGACACCGGGATGAGCCAGAAAAGGCTTGTCACACTTTATTCTCCATAGTGACCGCGTCGTCACTCCATAGTGACCTGGAGGTGGTGACGTTTGCAGCCAGACGTGGAAATGGGGGGCCAAGTGCTCCCACATTCCATAACGAAGTGCTAGGACCCGGCACCAGTCATCTGCAGCTGTGTCCTAAGTCACCCCAAAACTTAGTGACTTAAGGCAACCGTATGCATGTGTCATCTAGGTTTCTGCGACTTGGGGATCCAGCGCAGCTCAGCTGGGTGGCCCTGACTTGTCGTCTTTTGCAGGATGCAGTCTAAACGTTGCCCAGATGCCCGTGTTCCTTAGGTGCTGAGAGGTGGGATCAGCCGAGGTGCCCCCTCCCCGGCAGATGGACGCACAAAGACAAGACCGAAGGCTGCGTGGAGAAGAAAGGGACTCAGACATTTGCAGAAAAATGTGTGGACCTGGAAGATCTCCCAGCAGGAGGAACAAGCCAGACACAGAAGGAGGAGCACCTCTCCTTCTCTCTCAAAGGCAGAAGCTAAAAAAGTCAACCCGAAAGTGGCCCAGTGATTTCTAGAGATGGGGAAGGTGTGGGGCGAGGGGAGGGTGGAAAGGAGGCGGGGTGTGCTCAGCGGGTGCTGGGTGCAGGCGCGGAAATACCAGGCGGAACCTCAGCCCCATACACAATTCATACGTCTTAATAAATTTTTTTCAAAAATTTTGAATCTAAAAATAAATGAACAGATACTTTGAAAGGGCCTCTAAGATAAAGCCTTAGTTGGGATCCCTGGGAAAAAGGCATGATGTGACATTCCATAAAACTTTCTTATAATGTTCAATGAATTTGTGGTATATATTCTAGAGTCGATAACTAGCACTAGTTCCTTTTTTTTTTTTTTTTCCTGTGCTGGGAATGGAGCAGGGCCTTGTGCATGCTAAGCAAGCACACACTACCACTGAGCTGCAGCCTCAGCCCCAATAAATAGAACTTTAAATAGGACTTTTAATTAAAAACAAAAGTTGTCTCCTGGAGCAGCCTTTACCTGAAAGCCTGGCAGTACTGGAGATCTGCCTCTCTCTAGGACCGTGCACCCACCTGGCTCTGGACAGGAGACCTCCATCCTTCCCACAAGTCTCTCCAAAGGGATGACTGGGTGTCCCCACAGCAGGGTGGAGGCTCAGGTGGAAGCCACATGCCTAGCCTCACAAGTCACACACTGTGTCTAGTCTGCGCTCAGTTCACCATGTGGACCAGACGTGGGTCATTGTGGGATGAGACTACACAAGGGCACAAATGCCGGGATGTAGGGGTCACTGGGTCATCTTGAAGCCTGGTACCACAATCATACCAGCTGAGTCTGCAAAGCCTGTAAGTTGTGTGTGAGTCCCGATGCACAGCCTGGACAGGACCGAAACAGAAAGGATTTTAGTTTCTTTTTCTTGTTTTTGTTTTGCAGTACTGGGGATTGAACCCAAGCACACTCTACCCTTGAGCTACATCCCCAGCTTTTTTTTTTTTTAGACAAGAGTTAGTTTTTTTAGACTAAGTTGCTGAGGCTGGCCTCAAACTCGTGATCCTCCTGCCTCGGCCTCCTAAGTAGCTGGGATTATAGCTATGTGATACCATGCCCAGCTAAAAGTCCCCCAGAGTCTCCTGTTAAAGCCTTGGACCCCAGGTGGTGGAAGCCACGGGAGGTGGTAGAAGCCGTAGGAGGTGGGGCCTGGGTGAGGGAGTGGGTTCTTTGTCCCCCACCCTTGATTCCTCAAGGAAGTGGATTCCCACACAGACTCAAAGGACTCGCTCACAGGTTGCATTTTTAATTAGGAGGAAAGCTTCCTTATACAGATGGTTGCTGACACGGGGGTCCCCGATCCCATCTTAGACGCTTCTCTTACTGACTTCAGCAAAGTCCCTTTTGCCCAGATGAGGTCGGTTCCACCTCCTCGGGGTCGGGACTCAGACGGTTGAGCAGGGGGAGACACAATTCAACCCTCTACGAGGTCCCAGGACCGAATGCTCGGGCGCCCGGGGATCCGAGTCGACCCTGGAGATGACGCCAGGAGCACAAGGAGTGCAGAGAAAGTGGTTCTAGAAGCTGGAAAAAACTGGAGAACAGGGGGGTCCCCCCCCCCGCAGCAGCCAGGGGAACCGATTTGGGTCTTTTGAACTCCAGAACTGGAAGGAACCCAATCCTGTGGTTTAAACCATGGAATTCATGAGACGTGATTTCCG